GTCCGGCTCGGCTCGTAAAAAGCCCGAGCCTATTTTTTTGGGCTCGGCCCGGCTCGAGCCCACAAAAAAGCTCAGCCATTTTAACCGAGCCAAGTCCAAGCCGAAACTTTAGGTTTGCGAGCCGGCTCGACTCAACTCGTTTACATCCCTATTGTCACGTATATATCACGTGGGACGATTGCGACAGTAAACGACTTCAAATAGCATTACTCTTATAAGAATATAATAGTTTGCATTTCACATTTTGACTTAGTTTGGTCGAGGTCCAAGAGCGTTTACGAATGTCATGTTTGATATAAAATTTTAATTTAAGTTAAAATCAACAACTACTTTTAATTATATATTTTATGGGATCCACAATTTTTCAACCACATAGTTCAATAACTTTTATCAAAATCTATTAAAAATTCATATTTTAATCCCACCAGACACGAGCCAAGACTATCATTGGTCCCTTTTTCAAAAAAGAAAAAACTAATTTTATGGATTTCGATACATTTATCCACTTTTCAATCATACATTTGATCAACTTTCATCAGAATTTACTATAAATTTGATGTTTATATAAATCAAACAAGAGCTAAATTTTCTTTAAATCATCTTTTTTCCTCGTTCTGAGGGCACGACGTGTAGGAGAGGCTAAAGCTCATTCTACATAATACATTGAAGTACCTAAGATTGTCCACAAGAGCTCGAAGTCAACTACACTTGTAAGTTCAACATTACACAAGTCCCCTCAACCTGATAAATATGCACATTCGAACTGGACCAAAGCAAAGCTTACTGCTATACTCAAGCATGGAATGATTGATTAATAATATCTACGACACAACAACGCACTTATCTAGTAGTTGTTGCATGTCAATCCTGAGAGATCACACATGTCGACTAGAAGAGATTTTAACCCTTCTCCTATATAAACACGAGCATCTTTATCTGGTAGTTTCCAACCCTTCTATATATACAAGAGCGTCTTTTAATTCAAAACAAGAATGCATTTACGTATTTGAATTAAAAAAGGATTAATTTCATAAAAATATTAAAAAATAAACATCATTTTAATTTAAAAATATAGTAAGAACCTTCATTTTATAAATTTCATTTATAGGATGCTGCAACACAAAATTTGGATTTTACTTTTGTTATGTTTTATAATTTAACTAAAAACTTTAGTAACGGATTGTTTGGTCATCTTAGGAGTCAGGTTTTTTCGTAATTTTTTTAGTATTTAAACAAGAGTTAGGTCTTTGTCATAGCTTGACTGTTTAAAGATAAAAATATTGAATTTGAAATTTCCAATTCTTTTTTATTCAAATAGGTATTGTGTAGTGAATCCCCTATTTTGAGGTCAATATCAAGTCTTTGGTATTCTTTGCAAGGATTCAAAAAATATTTTATTCCTAAATTTATGGCATTATTCATGAATCAACGTATTTTTAGAATTGTCCTTGTGTTCATCTAGTTTTCACCCGTTTGCCTAAAGTGCCACGTAATTATTATGTTAGATGTGAGTTAAATATGTGAATGCCAATAAATTAATGTAAAATCCACACATTTGAAGAAATTTAATGGTGAAATTTGAAATTAAATTGAAGTTAGTGACTTATCAATTTTCTCAGTATGTAACTTGTTTATCAGCGAAGAGAATGGCTTCTAAATAAGTTTGTGGGGCTTTCTCATGAGCCATGCACAGTTCCAATTGAAGCCAAATCGTCATAGCATCATACACAATTGCATAGACGTATAGAAGTGGACAAGCAGAGTAGAGTTTTCATGCTTAGTATTGCACTAAAAATTGGCAAAAGTTTTCTATGAAGGAGAGGTAAAAATGGAGAGGTGTTCATCACTCCTAGGCAGCAATTCAATCTCGAGTTTTAGTACTTACTATCAAAGCCGATCATGCCCAAGGCAAACAAGGCAACTACCTAGGGCCTCATGAAAAAAGCCCAGACCCAACCCCAATACCCACCAAATCCATTTAAAAAACCAGTTGTTTCCCCTAGGGTTAGAGGAATTGTAGAAGATAGTAAAGAAATTGAGATTGCTTTTTATTGAACTAAAATCACCAATTCAGGTCAATTTCAATTGGAGGATGAGAGATTGTCGTCAATCGGGGAAGCTAAAGAAGGATGAAAATAATTCTTTTAAAAATATGAAAGGAATTTACAAATTGAAATCCTGTAAACGTAATTTCAAAATTCTACCAAACAATCCGTTGTATTTTTGTAACTAATTAATAGTTCCAATCTTTTACTACCTACTGGTTCTTTTTGATCTAGTTAAACAAATTGCAAAATTCCTAAGAGATTTTTTTTTATTCTGTTCAATGAGGGTTTTTTTTTTAATCCTTTTTTAATATCTTATGTGTTGAAAATTTGTTGGTGACCAATTTTCTTCTTGTTTTCTTTGCTTTAGAGAAACATATAATTTCTCCAAAAGAAGAAAAAAAGATGGATGTCTTTGTAAAAGGAATTGTGTTTATGGCAAAGTCCAATCTCATAGAAGGAACAAAGTAGCTATCAAAAGGATTGTCTTGCAAGAATTCTCATATTTCTACTCATCTACTGTAAGATATTTATTTTCAGATAGGTTTGTAATTTCAATGATTATACTCAATCTCACACAATTTGTAGATCAACAACATTTTTTGTTCCTATTTTTTTTTTTTTTTTTGGATATGGACTTTTCTGTAGAATTGGACTTACAGTATCATTTCTAAGCATTTTAAATATTATTTCTGTAATTTAATCATTGGTATTTTTGTTAAAAAAAATTATGTTTAGGGCCTCATAATTATCGGGGCCAGCTCCGCTTACTATAACGATAAGTGATCATCTTAATTGCCGAACTTGGAAAACATTATCCGGTTTATTTGTGTGAAAATATGCTTCAAATTTTATTATTATTATTTTTTTCTTTGTTGTAGCTGGGGATGGAAGATTTGTGGAAGAAGAAGACGAAAAAGAAGGACAATATCGAAAAAAAACATGGACGAAAACAATATTTTTTTTAATTTTAAAAATTTAACAGGAATAGAAATATCACTACAACAAAAGTAGTTTTTTACGGCATTTATATACAACTTGCATTTCAGGCATGCCGTAAAAAGTTTGCTTTTATAGCGTGCCTTAAATGTGTGCCGTAATAATTCAATTAATTAACGTATTTGGGGCACACATTTAGAGCACACCGTAAAAAGCAAACTTTATTTCAGTGAGAGTGCAATAGATATATAATAATAGTGAATGGCAATAGCAATTCCCTTGAAATATAAATAACCTTTGTTCTTTTCTACCCTGTGCTAGTTGTTGTTCATATTTAACAATCTTTAAAAAAGAAAGAAATATTTATTTTCTTATTTTCCAGTGTATGTAAGTATCAGGTTATGATCTATAAGCCAAATCTCATAATCTTCGATTTTGATAATATCAGTGCAAAACAATGAATCTTCGTTTGAATTGAAAGCAAAAACTAGAAATTTTTGAAATTATCAAATAGGATTTCTGGAACAGATAATTGGATGGATGATTTACTACAAACTAGAAATCTTTTCACCAAAAATGAAATTATTAAGTGGCAATAATTGATTTTTGCGGATTAAAATGAAATGGAAACCTGGTTTTAAAATATAGAGCAAAATAAATTATTTTTCAAAATTAGTAGTATAAATAGGGCTGGAGTTATTACACTATCCTATTGGAAAATTGGTTATGGTGGAGGATCTATACATAGGAAATTACATTTACATTGTATTTTAACTCCCAATTTTAGTAATCAAACTTTAACTTTATTATTTTATAAATCATATTATTATTAATTTATTTAATATTTAATATATAATATATTACAAATCAGTTATGCCCTTGTTTGAGCCCCATTTTGGGTTAAAAATGTATTTTGAAATAGTGACTTTTTGGAGAAAGAGTTTTTTATTTACCCGTAATAGTATTTTATTGAATATTATATGGTTGAAAAGAAAAAAGAGAATCATTTCGTCTCTATGCTTTCTTGGAAGTAGGAAACAAGAAATCAATTTCTAAGATCTCAATTTTCCAATTTTTTTATCTGCTTTGTTTTTGAATTGGTGGAGTTCGAACAATTCTAAAAATCATGTATAACCACAAAAAATAATGTTCTTGATGCAAAAAAACAACAAAAAGGAAGCTTATGTGATTAGGGCTAAATTCGAAGGGGCCTA